CCTCCCCCCTCTCTCTCGGTTTTGGGGATGGAACCCAGAGCCCTTGAACGCTAGGCAAGCGTTCCACCACTGAGCCACATGCCTAGCTCTTCACAGTTTTCTTTATTAAAGTCGTGGCATCAGTTTTGGGGCAGGAGGGTGTTTTTTCTTCTAATTTTCCTCATTCCAAGAGGCCCCTGGAGGTGGCGCTGCTCACCATAGAGGCCATGGTAGAGGTGCCTGGGGTTACCTGGCTCATCCTTACCTTACGTGGCCTTACTTAGTCTTCGTTTTCCCACTTCTTCCAAAGCCATGTCCAGGCCTTCACTCATCACGTTCACCCCAGCCTCTGACCCCAGTGACCTCTGGAAGGATGGGCAGCAACAGCTGCAGCCTAAGGAGCCGGAGCCCACCCTGGATGGGGCTGCAGCCAGGGCTTTCTATGAGTCCCTGATTGTGGACGAGACCACTGCCCCTGAACCCCAGAGAGCTCAGCCTGAGCGCGCCCAGGAGAGAAAGAAGAAGAAAAGAAGAGTGATGAGGGAAGCAACACCAGAAGCAGGAGTATCAGGAAGACATGGACAGGGGAGAGCCTTTGTAGACGAGGACAAGATGACCCAGTGGATACTGAAGGCAGCCCAGGATGGGAACGTGGCAGAACTTCGAAGGCTGTTGGAGCCCCTTGAGGCAGGGGGAGCTGGAGGGAATATCAATGCTCGGGACGCTTTCTGGTGGACTCCCCTGATGTGTGCTGCCCGGGCCGGCCAGGAAGCCGCTGTGCGCTATCTCCTGGGCCGGGGGGCTGCCTGGGTGGGAGTCTGTGAGCTGGGGGGCAGGGATGCTGCTCAGCTGGCTGAAGAAGCAGGCTTCCCCGAGGTGGCCCGTGTGGTCAGGGAGAGCCATGGAGAGACTAGGCGCCCAGAGAACCGGTAAGGGGGAGCCTTAACCCATACCCATCTTCCTGGGCATTCTGCTTTTCTAGCTGCCCCACACCAGGAACAGCCCTGAAACAGCTATAGGGTTCTCTGTGTTCTCCAGTGTTAAGGTAGTACAGTAGAGTGGTTATGGGTGGGAGCTCCTAGGATTTAAATCCTGACCCCACAAACTCGGAAACAACCTTATGTCTGTCTGTTGCCTTTTCTGAGAAATGGGGGAAATATGCACCTTTCTCATGGGCCAGTTGTTAGAAATAAATGGGTCAATCTATTTAAGTGCTAGAACAGCTATCGTCATTATTCTACGCTTGTCCAAAGCTTCTGAGGCTTGGTTACCAACTCTTTTTCCCACTGTTCCCCTGTGGGCCCCTTATGGCTAAGTGGGGAAGGCTGGGAGTGTAGCTCAGTGGTAGAGAGCTTGCCTAGCTTGCAAGAGGCCATGGGCTAGATCACCAGCACCAAAACAAAAAACAAAAATGGTAGTGCTGAGTACGGAGGAAGGCAGTTTGTTATTTAGCAGAAAACCTGGAAGGAAGGGGCCGGTGATATAGTTCAGTGGCACAACGCCTGCCTGGCAAGTGTGAGGTCCTGAGTGTGATTCCCAGTATGAGAAAAACAAAACTGGAAGGTAGCTGGCCGCTGGTGGTGGTGCACACCTGTAATCTCAGCACTCAGGAGGCTGAGGCAGGTGGGTCACTGTGAGTTTGAGGCCAGCCTGGGCTACAAAGTGAGTTCAAGGCCAGCCTGAACTATATAGTGAAACCCTGTCTCAAAAAAACAAACAAAAAGCTGGAAGGGTCCTGTCCCCCCTCCTGCTAGCCCCTTCTGAGGCCTCAAGTCTCCCTTTCCCTTCCTCTGCCCTTAACCCTTTTCTTCTTTCTCTGCAGGGCCCCCTCCCCCGTCCCCCAGTATTGTGAGACCTGTGATGCCTACTTCGAAGACTCCAACCACTGCACATCCACCGCTCACCTGCTGTCACTAGTCAGGGGTCCTCGCCCCCCTGGCGGTTCCCTTGGGGTACCCACATCCAGCCCTGGCTTCAGGCTGCTGCTGAAGGGAGGCTGGGAGCCAGGAATGGGGCTGGGGCCCCGGGGTGAAGGCCGTGCCAACCCTATCCCCACGGTCCTCAAGAGGGACCAGGAAGGCCTGGGCTACAGACCAGCACCACAGCCTCGAGTCACACACTTCCCAGCTCGGGATCCCCGGGCTGTGTCTGGGCGAGAGCGAGCCCTTCGGGTGGCCACGCTGAGCCGGAGGGAGAACAGAAGGCAGGAGGAAAAAGACAGGGCCTGGGAGCGGGATCTCAGGACGTACATGAACCTAGAGTTCTGACTGTGAAGTCTGACTCTGATCTGCTGCTGAGGTCTGAACTTGGACTTCTGACATGAGCACTTTTCTACTTCCTGGGATCTACCCAGGTGCCAAACCTTCATGTTTTAATCAGTAGTCTCTGCTCTTGGGAGACAGCTGCTGACCGTTGAAAAATAAATCAACCTTCACCCTCGCTTGTGGTTTACTTACTTCTCTGAAAGCTGGTATGGGGAAGCCTCACAGAAGTGGGGACCACATGTACATCTCCCCGGAGCCGGAAGAGGCAGCCTGTGCAATGGCATGGTAATTTCCTGCCAGTCCTAAACTCTTTTGGGAGTGCCCCACCTTTTCCAAACCCCTTTACCAGGAATTTACACCTCTCCCAGGAGGGCCCTCTGACCACTTCAGTCACTGATTTGACAAACAGCCAGGTTGGTGGTATATGCTTGTAATTCCAGCATTCTGGGAGGCTGAGGCAGGAGGGTCACCAATTTGAGCCCAACCTGGGCAGTTCAGCAAGACCTTGTCTCAAAAGGGTTAGAACATTAGCTCAGTGTGGGGGACCTGTATTTGACGCCCAGTACATTCAAAACAACAGTGAAATGCCGAAGGGACTCAGCTGGAAAGGAGGAAGTCATGATATCAAATATTACAATGCAGTGTCCAGATGCTGGAATCCAGTGTGAGAAAGAGAAGAAGTGGACCTGAGCAAGAATTGAAGCCCACAGGGAAAGTGAAGAGAGACTCCAACGCAGAGGAAGGAGTTGCCAAGTGGCACTTTCTCTCTGAGCCCTGACTCGCTGCTTGGGAGGGTGGCCTGAAGCTGCAGACCCACAGTGACTACTGGCGACCCCAGAAGCCTCGACAGAGAAACACACGGGTGGAATGGAGCAGTGGGTGCGGTGGACCGCAGTGGCTGGTGAGTTACCCTGGTTTAGACATCCCCCAGGAAAGGAATGGCCGGTAGCCACCGTGGAAAGGGGCCAACTGAGCTTGGAACTCACCAGCTGCAGGCTGGGTCCATCTAGCAGCTCCCAGTGTCAGGATGCAGGATGAGGTGGGACTGAGTTCAGCTCAGCAGGAGGTCAAGGAGTGTTGCAGGCTGAACAAAGCGGTTCCAGCCACAGCCTTCAGTGGGACTAAAGGAGCGGGCTTGCTGGGATTATCCACTACCCCACCGTAAATGTATGGCTGGCTTGCTGGGACTAGGCAGCATGGATCTGGGCTCTGTCTGCCCACACTGTCTACCGGTGACAGCAGAGACATCACCTGAGGTGGACTTTTTTTTTCTTGATGCCAGGAATTGAACTTAGGACCTTGTGCTTGCCAGGCAGGTGCTGGGCACTGAGCTGTATCCCTAGCCCTCCTATTTTTTCTTTTCTTTTTTTCTCTCAATTGTTTGTTCCTGTTTTTACATGAATGTGAACATTATTTCTAGATTTTTTTGTTCTTTTTTTATTTCTTCCTTCTCTTTCCCACCTGTCTTCATTACTAGTTTCCCAAAGTTCAAGTAATCTCTTGTCCTCCAGCCTTACTTTTAATTTCTTCCTCTTCTAGTTCTCTATTTTTCCCCCCAACTCCTTTTAAATTTTCTCCCCTGAGGGTAAAATCACCATATTGAGGGCATATTTACTGTATACAATTTTCTGGCTTGTTTTATTTATTTTTTTCTGGTTTTAGATTTTGTTATATAACCATAAATATAGTTCATACAGTTAAAGGTGGCAAATTAATAGTTACTGTTACCACAGTTTGTCATTTTCTAGGCTATGTTTGATGCTATTGTTATTGGTGGTTGTACTGCTTTAGTGAGGGTATTATAATTGTTCTAATCAGTTTTTCTTCCTGGCATGCCAAGACTCAGATTGCTTAAGTAGAATGGATCAAGAAGCAAGACCCAGGGCAGGGGATTTAGCTCAGTGGCACAGAGCCTGCCTGGCAAGCCCAAGGTTGTGAGTTTGATTCCCGGTACCAGAAAAAAAAAACAAAAAAACAAAACAAAACCAAACAAAAAAGACCCAATAATATGCTGCATACAAGAAACACATTTAATTCAAAAAGAAATTCATAGATTCTAAGTCAAAGGATGGAAAACAATATTCCTTGTGACAGGAACCCAGGAAAAATTAAGGGTAGTTATTATGTTTGCAGACAAAGTGGATTTTAAGCCAAGACTGATTAGGAGAGACAAAGAAGGTCATTACATCCTTGTAAATGATCCTTATCACAGAGGAAGTGATAATAATTATCAATGTATATGTACCAAATACCAGCACACCCAGCTGTATGAAGGAAATATTAACAGGCATGAAAAATCAAATAAGTACTAGTACAGTTGTAATAAGGGACCTCAATACTCTACTGTCACAAATAGACAGATAAACTAGGCAAAAAGTCAACAAAGAAATATCAGAACTGAACCAAACTTGTGAACAAATGGACTTAGTAGATGTCTACAGAGTTATTCATGTCATGGCATCAGAATATACATTCTTCTCAGCTGCACATGGTACATTCTCCAAAAGAGGCCACATACTAGCTCATAGAACATGTTTAAGTAAATACAAAAGAATTGAAATTATCTGTGATTATCATCAGACTATAGTGCAACGAAATTGGAAATCAATGGCAAAAGAAGCCACAAGAACTTCATAAGCACATGGAAATTAACACCCTCCTGACAACCAATGGGTCACAGATGAAATTAAGAAATTAGTTTCTATAATTAAGTGATAATGCCAATAGAATATACCAGAACTTATGAGATGAAATGAAAATAGTCCTATGACAAAAATTTATAGTGGTGAATTCCCATTTCAGAAAAACAGAGCTCAAACAACCTAATGTTGAACCTCAAGCTTCTAGAAAGAGAAAAGTAAGTGAAGCCCAAAGCTGGTATGAGGGAGGAAGTTATAAACATCAGAACAGAAATTAATGCAATGGGGACTAAGAAAACAATACAAGGAATCAATGAATAGTTGGTTCTTTGAAAGGTTAAATAAAATTGACAAACCCTTAGCCAACCTTCTCAAAAAAAGGAAAGACTCAAATCCATGCAATTAAGAATGAAAAAGGTGAAAGGCTGAATATGATGATGCACACCTGTAATCCCAGCACTTGGGATGCTGAGGCAGGGGGATAGCTGTGAGTTCGAGGCCAGCCTGGGCTACAAAGTGAGTTCAAGGCCAGCCTGAATTACATAGTGAGACCTTGTCTCAGTAAGGCAAAAAACAAAGAATGAAAAGGTTGAAGTCATAACAGATCCTACAGATATTCAGATCATCAATACCTACTTCAAGAATCTGTATTCTGATGAGAAGTAAAACACAGAAGAAATGCACAGATTCCTAAATACATATGAATTAGCAAAGCTAAACCAAGAAGATATAAAACTTCTTGCCAGGTGTGGTGGCATACACCTGTAATCTCAGTACTCTGGAGGCTGAGGTAGGAGGATTGCCATGAGTTCAAGGCCCATTAAGGCTATGTAGTGAGTTCAAAGCTGGCCTGAACTACATAGTGAGACCCTGTCTCAAAAACTGTATCAGTTAGGGTTTACTAGAGAAACAGATATAACACAAGATATACAGATGTGTAAGAAATTGTAAGTTTGGCTTACAATGGTCAGCTACAGAGTTGGATGAGGAAGCACGCAGAGGTTGTCTGCATGCCGGAGACTGAAGAGCCCGGGGCCTGGAGCTCACTGCAGTGTCTGTGCAAGTCTGTATCAAAGGGCTGATGGGTCTGTGACAGAATGCTGAAGAATTTATGAGGAAGGCCAGAGAGCCAACACCAGAAGGCTGAAAAGTCCCAGGTGGAAGCCAAACAGTCTGCACCAGAAGCCAGGAGACGACCAAGGTGAAGGCAGAGACTGGAGCTCCTCCGAAGAACTAGCAACCCATCCTTGAAAAAATTTTTTTTATGCAGTCTACCTGCTCTCGGGGCATGGGGGTGGTCCTCTACACCCACACCCTCTGCATGCCTTCCTCTTGCCCTGGCTCAGGGTGAATACAAAGTAAGCACCCTGGCTCCCTTCTGAGTCACATAGTTAACCTTTTAAGCTTTTCAAATTAACACAATAAGCAACATCCCAGAAGGCTAAGGGCATGTCCTTTTTACCCCAAGATGCAGAACACCTGAGTCACTTAGCCAACCCTCTAGACTCCCCAAGTTGACACAATGTATCAACCATAACAAAAAAGGAAACAAAATAGGGCTGGGGATTTAGCTCAGTGGCACAGCGCCTGCCTGGCAAGTGCGAGGTCATGAGTTTGATTCCAGTACTGGAAAAAAAAAAAACAACAAACCAAACCAAAATAACAAAATTCTAAATAAACCAGTATCAGTCAATGAAATTGAAGATGTAATTAAAAACCTACCAACAAGGTTTAGGTAGAACGATTGCTGCAAGGCCAGCCTGAACTGCAGAGTGAAACCCTGTCTCAAAAAGACCAAAAACAACAAAACAAAACAAACATACCAACAAAGGAAAGCCCAGGCCTTGACAGATTCACTGCTGAATTCTACAAGAAATTTAGAGAAGACCTACTGCTGCTACTTCTCAAACTCTTTAATAAAATTAAAAGGAAAGTAATACTGCCAAACTCATTCCTGGAAGCAAGCATTACGCTGATACCAAAACCAGAGAAGTATACAAAGAAAAAAGAGAACCTCATGAACATACATGCAAAAATCCTCAATAAGATATTGCCAAACAGAGTGCAACAAATCAAGAAGATTAAACACCATGATTAAGAAGGATTCATCCCAGGGATGCAGGGATGGTTCAACGTATGCAAATCTTTTTTTTGTTGTTGTTTTTGTTTTTTTTTCCAGTACCAGGGATTGAACTCACGGCTTTGCACTTGCCAGGCAGGCACTGTGCCACTGAGCTAAATCCCCAGCCCCAAACATATGCAAATCAATAAATGTAATAAACCATATTAACAGAGCCAAGGACAAAAACCATATGATCATCTCAATAGATGCAGAAAAAGCATTTGACAAAGTCCAACACCCATTCATGATAAAAATCCTACAGAAAGTTGGAATAGATAGTCTTTATCTCAATCTGATAAAAGCCATCTATGACAAACTAACAGCCAACATCATACAAAAACAAAGCTTTCACTTTAAAATCCAGAACATGACAAGTATGTTCACCATTATCACTCAGTATAGTTCTAGAAACAT